TTTGATGGAATTTGTAAGTTCTCATTTGTGATAAAATGGTTGTCTGTTGTGTTTTGAGTCCCTCAATTTCTTTGCAAGGGATTGGACCATTTTTACAAAGTTGGCTGTCTTTTCTTCGGCCTCGGTTTTCATTTCTGTGATATGTGTGTTAATGAGCTTGTATAGTGTGATCATCGAAATTTTCAAAATACGTCCGTTTACGTTCATATCATTCTCGATTTTTAGGTTGTCCAAGACTTCTTGTATCGACATTTTAACTTTGAGTTTTCAGTTCTTCGCAAGTCAAACTCCATTTTCGACTTTTATTTGTCGTGAAGTGGTTTATCTTTTTAATTTTGAAACAAAAACAAAGTCATTTTCATATTATAATTTCACCTCATTAAGTATAACTTTGAAATCCGATAATGTTACAATATTCATAATTTATTTAATATATTTCAGTAACGCATTAGAAAAAAATATTTAAATTAAGAACAATATAATAGACAGCAAACACTTTGACTTAATCTGCATTATCATCATTACAAGTTTAGCTCAATGTCTTCAAAAAAATATTTCAAAATTTGAGTTTATTATTTGAAACAACTTTTAAAAGTTAATTCAAAAAACAATTTGGGTAATTAATTCAAAATTTGTTATAAAGTTAGTTTTTTCACAATATCTAGTTTTAAGTAAAATATATGGACTAATTATAGATTAAAAAAGTAAGCATTATTTTTTATGTAAAAAAACGATCCAATAAGTTGAAATTGTCCATTGTTGCCGTTTAAGATATTACCATATAATAATCAAAAAATATTGTATGTTTGTGTAATGTAATGAGTGGATTGTAAATGAAAAGAGTACAAAAAAATAATTATTTTTTTGTTTAATATAAGGAATAAGGTTGTTTAATACAGAAACTAATTTGTTGTTGAGTTTGAATGATGGATGTGATTTGAAATTAAATGACATAACGTTTATATAAGTCATGTATTTTAATTTATAATATTTTGCCTTAAAGAAAACAACTTTAAATTAAAGAATGTAGAGCTACCTTTGTTAATGTATGAAGTGTCAAAAGTTGATTTTATTTTTTGTATGATGGGGGTTCTATTTCCTTTTAGATTGATAGCCTAAAATCATTCAAAACTACCAGCAATTTTTATATCCCATATACAATTAAATTGTCATAATTTAACAAAATTAAACATAATAGTTTAAATTAACTATAATATAATTGGTTACAAGTTGAATCCTCTGTTGTTTCTCTTGAAATTATAATTTTGACAAAAAAACACACATGATTTTATAAAATTGGGATCATTGTCTATTACACTACCACTCTACTTTTGACGTGTTCATCTCAGAAGTCCACATATTGATGTTAAACAACAACAGTTTGCCAACATTACTTTTTAATTCAAAACTGACATGAAGAAGTGTACCCGACCATAATAGTCCAAGGCAAAAACAAAAACTTGGCCCGTAACGTTGTAAGAACAGCAAAGTACAACATCTTTACTTTCATTCCAAAGTTTCTTTTTTTTCAATACAAACAGCTTACCAATGTGTACTTTCTGGTCAATTTTATTATCTGTTGTATACCTTTTTTATCTTCGGTCATTCCTATAACCGCGGGTGTTCCAATTGCAATCATTCTTATTATTGCAGCCACAAGAGAGTTACTAGAAGATGCAAAAAGACATTTTTCGGATAGAAGAACAAACAACACAAAGTACACTGTTTTACAAAATGGCGTGGTTACACAAATTGTTTCCAAAAATATTTGTGTTGGCATGATCATTAAATTAAAAAAAGATGATGTTGTTCCAGCCGACATAATACCTATCCATTCAGCACATAAAGATGGAGTGTGTTATTTTGATACAGCAGCTTTAGACGGTGAGACAACTTTGAAATCATCATTTGTTCCAGAGCGCTTTGTTAATCTTCAGGAAAGTGACCTGAACTCCTTTACTCCTATATTGGAATGTGAATATCCTCATCCGGTGTTTAATATATTTAAAGGCTTCTTTTCTTTGAGTGGAGACAAAATAAAAACAGCACTTAACGAGAAAAACATGGTGATGAGGGGTTCAGTAATGAGAAGAACTGATTATCTGTATGGTGTTGTTTGTTACACAGGAAAGAACACAAAGCAAGCCATGAACTCTTCAATACCACAGAACAAAAACAGTGGGTTAAATGTCAAATTGAATTACTTGGTAATTGCAGCAATCATTTTTCAATTAACGCTCTGTACTATCATGGCAAGTTTTTCAACGTGGAGACATGGAATTGTGACCACAGAAAATGGGTTTTGGTATCTTAACAAAGAAGGCTACACTTTGAGTCAACCAGTCTATTTCATCAAAAAGTTTTTTGGCTTTTTTAATGCGACAATTAACATGGTTCCAATATCATTAGCTTCTTCAATTGAAATTACTCGATACCTTCAAGGCATTTTTATAGAGAAAGATGACGATTTCAAAGTGTGTAAAAAAGACCAAGAAGGCAAAGAGATTGTTGTTGGCATGAAGACGAATTGTAGTGTTCTTATCGAAGAAATGGGAGAGGTGGAATTTGTGTTGTCTGATAAGACTGGCACTTTAACGTTTGTTGTACAAAGATAATAATCTAAATAAAAAACAAAAAACATGTCATTGTATATTCAAAGTAATTTTGTAATTAACTTAGTAGAGAAAATCAAATGCGATTTTTGAAGTGCAGTGTTGGTGGAAAAGTGTACAACACAAAGGATGGAATAATAGATGTAAAACAATCTTACCAACACGATAAAGGAATAGAAGAACTTTTTACATGTCTTGCATTGTGTAACTCGTGTTCTGTTGAGACTCAAAATGATAAAAAATCATTTTGTTCTTTGTCTCCTGACGAGGAAGCACTTTGCGAAAGTGCTTCTTTGAATGGAGTTGACTTAATCAGTCGAACACAGAATGAAATAACTATTACGAGAAATGGTACTATTGAAAAGTACACAATAATAGTCACAATTGAATTTAACAGCTTGAGAAAGATGATGAGCATTTTACTTGAAAATGATAACAAGTACATTTTATACACCAAAGGTGCTGATAGTGCAATTGAAAACCTTTTGAGTGAAGAGTCAAATCAGATCAAAGTTACAACACGGAACCATGCAGATGCATTTGGACAAATTGGGTTACGTACTTTGTTTGTAGCAAAGCGTGAATTGAGCCAGAACTTTGTTGAAGAGTGGTTACTTAGATTTAAAGCAATTGATCCTCTTGCCACAGACATTAAAGAGCAGCAAAGAAAGATGTACATGGAATTGGAATGCAATTTGACCTTAATTGGAGCCACTGCAATTGAAGACCAATTACAAAAGAAAGTTCCCGAGACAATCAGTTTATTAAAAAATGCTGGACTTAAAGTGTGGATAATTACTGGAGATAAAATGGAGACAGCAGTTAGTATTTCTCGTTCGTGCAATCTTTTTACATCAACTCAAGAATTGATTTATTTTTCACATGAAAGTGAAAGTGAATTTGTGTCGCATTTGTCAATAGAAAACTCTCGTTTGGAACATCTGGAAAAGCACGACGACACCCAGATCGGTGTTGTAATTTATGAGAAAAACATTGATTGGTTTATTAACCACAAAAAAGACTTCAAAAAGCTTGCGGAGTTTTCATCCAGTGTTGTTTGTTGTCGAGCAAGTCCAAAACAAAAGAGTGAAATTGCCATTGCATTAAAAGAGATGACAAACAAAAAGTGTTTAACTATTGGAGATGGGATGAATGATATTCCCATGATAACTAAAGGAGATGTAGGTGTTGGAATATATGGTAAAGAAGGGAACCAAGCAGCTGTTTCTGCAGACTTTTCAATACACCAATTCCATCACTTGGGTAAATTAGTACTATTCTATGGAAAGAATGGTAAATACCAGATATCAACATTGATTAAGTTCTGCTTTTACAAGAATGCAGCGTTCTTTTTAGTTAATATGTTCTATGCTTTTATATCCAACTTTACTGTTCAATTGTTACACGATGATTGGATTATTACATGTACAAACACTTTTTTTACTACACTTCCACCAATTACAATTGCACTTTTCGACTATGACTTGACTTGGGATGAAATCAAAAAGTATCCACAGAGTCATAAAGAAAGTCTTGTCGACAAAAATTATTCTTTATTTGCGTACATCGAATGGTTTGTGTACGGAGTTATACAAGCGGGAATCTTTTTTTCATTGTTTTATTTTGTCATCAATGGCACTGATGTTACATTCTATGGAAAGGTGAATGGGTTTACATTTACTTCGGTATCACTGACAACTTGTAGTCTCTGTTCTATATGGGTCACTTTATTCATTTACACAAAACGGTTAAATATATACGTCTTTGCAGCTTTTATAATAAGTGTAATACTCTATGCAGTGGTATACACTGCTGTGATGTTTATACCAAACATGTCAAAGATGGGGATCTCATCATATGGGTGGATAGTTGTTCTCCAACAACCAACATTCTATCTATTGTTAATAGTAGCAGTGTCTTTTGCTTCACTACCACAAGTTGTGACCCATTATGTGCAAAGAACACTTCACCCAAGCAACTATCAAATTATTCAAGAAAACACCATTTTATGTAACACAAAAAGCTTTACTTTCAAAGAAATTGAATTAGATGATATCAACACCAAGCACGACAACTCTGCGAGCTTCGATAATGAATAAGTTAAACGTTTCAGGCCAAAAATGTATGTTCCATTTTATTATAATTAAACGATTATTGAATTTGTTATTGTAAATATTCACATTTTGTATTATAATGTGCGATAAAAATGAATTAAAGATGTTACTCCCAATTTTTCCTCATCCAAACTCTATACATCAGTTTCAATATGTTTTAATCTAAAACAACAAACCTAATGTCATCCAAATCATATCCCTCTGCTATTCTCTTCACTTCATCAATTTGATCAACATTATCCAGCAATATACTTCCAGGTAAAATTGGATCCACTCTCAAGAACCGATTCCCAAACAACGTCTTCGCTTCTTTAACTGTTTCATCTCTTCTTGAAAGCATAAACAAATCGACCTACTTCGTTAAAAGTGAAAGTAAATAAGACAAAAGTAACAAACAAGTTGAGTCGCCCATTGTACCATCCCTCCATTCCCAATTTTTTCAACATCAATGTAAGCTGGTGTAATTCTTCCCGCCGAGAGGGATAGACAGACGATGTCCTCCATGTGAATTCCAATCCCTTTCTCTCCAATTAGTAAAGGCCATGCAAGCCCGCATGGGATGTTATCTATGACACCTCCATCAACATAATTTTGATAAGGTTTATAATACGAGGGAGCTGCTGCACTTCTTAAACAGACATCAGCAACCTTCTCAGTTTCATTTCCAGGAACTATATTAGTGAAAACGTCTGCCCTACACACTCGTGGCTCCTTTCCAGAGTCAATCAAAAACGCTGGAATGACAACATGTCTTGGCAAACACTTTAATGTGAGACTTCCAAACGCGGTCTCTCCAAATGCTTTCAAGTAGTCGTTGATGTACTTTGCGTTTGTCACAGATTGGATGCTGTCTTTCTTGAATGAATATCTGATCACATTCTCTATAACAGCTATCAACCCATCAAGGGAATATCCAAGTGTAAGACATGTGATGACTGCACTCGACGCAGAGACTCCACAGAACAAATTGCACTTAGTGAACATATCCGGAAATTCGGCAGAGAGTCTCTTGAGTATTATCAATTCCATTAACACTTTAATTCCTCCCCCATCTAATGAGATGACTCGGTACTTCTTCCCCTTCCCAAAGTCGTTTGGATTTTCAAGCATTGATCGTGACAAAAACGCCTCTTTAATGAGCGCGGCGGACGTCTGAATAAATCCATCTTTACTCATTTTATTCTTCTTAAAAAATTGTCGCACTTTGCTCTCCTTTTCCACTTTGTAATTTTGGAATTTGGTATAAAGTCCGTCTATAGTGCATTCCGTTGTTTTCAATGACTTCATCACTTCGACATCACAACAGTCTTCATCATCTTTCTCTGAAATTGTATCACTTCCAGACTTGATGGAAGAAGTGTCTTGTGCAAGGGCCGATGATTTACAACTGCACGTCTTTTTAACTTCCGGACTTCCATTTCTTTCAACTTGGGAGTCCGACTTCAATTCTTTGAATCCCACACGTTCGTCTTTTCTTATATTCTCCTTCCGACATAAAGGCTTTAAATAACTCGTTAAATGCCTATTCCCAGAACTGAGGGCATACCCATACACATCGACCATCTGTGATGTTCTGTCGGTTGGTCTTCCACCGTATTCAATGAGAAGTTTGACGGCTTCCAAGTCACCTGAGAGTGCTGCCAAATGGAGTGGTGTCTCAAGGAGGATATTAACTGATTTAACCATTTCTGGATACATCGACCACACTCTTGTGATTAATTCAAGTTTCTTCGACGATGGTGTCACTTTTGCTATGCAATGGAGGTAAGTATCCCCTGTTGGTATGATCTGAATAACCTTTGCTCCGTTTTCTATTAAGTAATTAGCCAAATCGAGTCTATTATTCTCTGTAGCAATGAATAAAGGGGTCTGTCCTTGAACATTAGGTTGGTCAATAAAGTCCGGGTAATTCTCTGTTATAAACATTAGAACATCTTTATTCCCACGACGACAACATTCTTGAATTATTCGAGGAAAATGTGGAGATGTGTGGATAGGAAACTCTTTTAACCCTTTCAGACTTGCAATGGAATTCATTCCATTCATTTCAGTTTGGATGTACTTCTCTATCAACATCGCAAAGAGGTCTTGTTGTTGAGTAGCGTTCATAAGAATATTAAAAATTCAATTCGTTTAACATGAAAAAAATTAGTCGATTTGGCAAACAATTCATTTGAATTATAACAATGTATTATAAATTATAATACATTTATATTTATTATATAATACATTATTGTAATTACTATAGATTGATTTATTAATAATATATTAATCATTGTTTTTTAATAATTAAAAACAACTAGATATTTAAAAAAAATTCCAATTAACTATATTATTATAATTGGAACTATATTATTTTACATATTTATCATATTTTTTCATGTTTTATAAATTATAAGTCTAAATATTTATAGTTATTTACTATTATATAAATAAGATTTGTCTTAATCAATCCCGAATTGTGTAAGAAGTGAATTAATTAGGCGTCGTCCATCAACATGAGTGTCAAATTCATGAATTTGGCGAAAGTTGCTCTTTGGAATGGGCCTTGTGCTTGTTTAAAACCGTGTTGGTAAATAGTTCTTATTTGACCGAGGTAAGCAGCACACCCGATGAATTGTGAAAGGCCGATTTTCTTAGCTAAGAGTCCTTTACCACATGTTTTGATGAGGATTTTACACGACATGTTGTTCAAGTCGAATCCGAGTTGTGGCATAGCGGCGAAAATTTCCTTTTCGTCGAGGTTGTTGCTTTTATCCTTGTCGAATTGTTTGAAGACGTTTGTTGCAAGTTCGACATACTTCATGAGTGCCAAGTACTCGTAGAATCCAATAGATCCCGATCCATCGACATCAAATATTTTCATTAAGTGTTTGCAAGTGTCTTCTTCAAGCTTGACTTTGCCTGGCCATACCGCCTTCTTAAGCTCATCAAGTTCGAGTGTTCCAGACTTGTCCTTGTCAACCTTTTGGAACCAGTCCTGATATCCTCTGAACTCAGAAGCAGCTACAGAGGAAGCAAGTGGATACCACCATTCATTCTTGACACGTGGATCAGCGGCATATGCAGCTGTAATGTTTTGAGCCAACCAAGCGTCAGCTGCGGCTTGAATTTGAAAGAGAGACATTGTTATTTTATTGAGATGGACCACCTTTATATATGGTGGTACATCTCAATCTTTTTTTTTCGAGCCTCTTTTACTATACAATATACTTTAACTAATAATAAAATGTTAAGAATATGGAGTGAGGATAGTCTCCCTTTCGGCTGGATACTACTCGTCAATTTAGTGGGTGTTTTGAAAGAAATCTACAAATGTGTCTCTCTTCCTCAATCTCTGAATTCACGGCAAAGTTGGTGTAAACGAATAATAAAATGAGAAGGCCCGATTTATTACATCATTTTTTTCTTTTACAGTAAATTAGTTGGATCTTTGGTGATGTTTTTCAAGTAAAACAATGAATATAATTGGCAGCACCGGAATACTGTATTTGCTTTTGACTCTTTTTAATTGACGAAAAACGTGAATAAATTAAAAGGCATATTTTTACAAACATAGCAAAACACCCCCAAAGCAACCAAATTACCTTTTTGAATTGAAATTGAGAAAATGAGGAATTTGGTCGAGCAATTTAAAACAACAAAGACTAATAATTATCAAAGATGTCGTTGTTTGCCATTCAAGCTGCTGCAGACAAGTATGTTGCTGATATGATCCAGGCGGGTATTAAACAAGACCCCCGCCTTCAATTCCAGTGGTGGTTTCCATTAGTTGAGAGTATATCAGCGGTTGAGTTCCATCAAAACCAAGATTGGTTTATAAAAGTAGATAAGGACAAATCAGGCACATTAGACGCAAAAGAAATCATCAAAGCAAAATTCCCAGGTGACATTAAAGTCGACCAAACCACTGTTAATCGATTGATGAGGATCTTTGATGTCGACTTCTCGGGATCAATAGGCTTCTTCGAGTTCTTAGCCCTTTACAACTTTGTGAAGCTTTGCCTCGACACATTCAAAAACTTCGACAAGGATAAAGGAGGATCCCTTGATGCAAAGGAATTAACACAAGCACTTCCAGCACTCGGGTTTAATTGCAGCAAGAGGTCGATAGATATACTCATCAAACTTAACTCAGCGCTTGGGAAGAAAATTTCTAAAAACCAATTTGTTGCGGTAGCAGCTTATTTGGGTCAATGCAGATCAATTTACCAGAGAACTTTCGATATGAAGAGAAACGAAATTGACAACAGGGAGTTCGACAAGTTCGTCAATTTGGTTCTCTCTCTGGTCGAATAATTCATTTCTCATTTATCATCGTTTTTCAATTAAACAGCGTATTAGTATTGTAACTGGATATCGTAGATCTTAAAATAAAAAACATTTTTGAGATCAAATTATAATTAAAATATAATTAATAAAAACCTATTATTATTATTTATAAAAAATAGTTTGGAATAATATAAAAATCATAGTATTTTTATTATTATTAGAGTAATTCTTTATAAAATTTGATTTATTATTCCATTTTAATTTATAATAAACTACAAAATATATTTAAATCAAACTATAATTATTATTATTTGTTTTATTAATAGAAATAATTAAAAGTATTATTAAATATGATTCGGATTAGATCATAATTGTCACAACAACAATTATGACTGCTTTAATATATTCCTTTTCACTTTGCCGGCAACTTAACTGCATGTAAATTCCGTTTTAAAAGATGCAACATTTGTAAAATTCTCAAGTATTTTATTTAGTATACGAACTAAATAAAAAGCAGCGATGTTTGTAAGTTATTCAGCCGTTGGTAATTCATGTTTTTATTCATTGATACCGGAGAAATAGCTCTGTTAATATCCAAATGAATAATGAATTAACACATGATTAAGTTTAAGTGATTAATAAACTCAAATAAAATATAAAAAAAATAAAAAATATATTTACAGTAATTACAGAATTTAAAATATTTAAAAAGATATCTGGAACATAATACAAATGTATAAAATGTTAAGGCGCCCATTAAAAGGCAATACAAAAATTGTTCCCAGGGTAAACCATCAGATGCTAATATTCGCAGTGCACAGGAACACGCACCTGAGCTAGTGTTGTTTCTTGAAGCAACACTAACAAGGAAAAGTTTGTTGATTTTTGGAGCTCATTTCCACCCTTATATACTACTCAGATACTATTCATTATTATATTGTTACTATTATTTTATAATTTATTTTTTATCTTATTGATAAATAGTTGTTTTATTAAATAAATATAGTTAAGTCAACCTCATAACACCTTCTGTTTTGTTCTTTATCTTCTTTTTATTCTTAAAACTATTAAAACTATAACAATATATTATAATTTTTAATTTGCATTTTTTTGGAAAAACAAAAGAACTCAAATTATACATTTGACAAAAAAATTTGTTTTAGAAGAAGTTATTAACTAAAATTATAATACAATTAATTATAAAATATGGTTGTAATTACTAAATAAAATAAAAAAATGAAAATTAGCAACCCAATCAAAACATGACAAGAAGCATGAAAAGTGTGTAGTACAGAATGATAGGGTATACCAAAAGAACAGCATTTCCTTTTGCCTCGAGTGTTGTTATAGTGCATCTTGCGGTCATATAAGTTGACAACGAGATACAGAGGATGACAGCTGTGATGAGAACTGAATTCCTTTGTGTCAGAGATGCTATAATGAACCTATAATAATGCTAAAATTAAACCATACTAAAATGAAAAGATTGAAATGGAGGAATGGGAATATATTTATACCTAAAAAATGAAAGAAAAATGGACAAACGGAATGGCTATGAAAAGGTCAAACACAGCCGTGAACAACCCAAAGACTATCATAGGGACGAGGTTGTAAGCGAAGTGCGTAAAAACTAAAAAGTACTCGATGTTCTTCTGCGACATAAAATTGAGGAACAAATACTCGACAAACACAGCCAAAATAGAAAACCCATACACATCTCCAAACCGAAGTTTGCCGTTAAGAGCAATCACGACACCAAGAAGAAACGAAATCAATATCGACCCCAATATATCGGACTCAAGTTGTTCCGCTGTTGAAAATGGATTGAGGTTTCGAAGCATAGTCTTTCCCATTTTACTAAAGTCGATGCCCAACTCTGTTCGTCAATTTTGCGCGAAGAACCTTTGATCCAAATAACTCTCTTAAACAACACATTTTGCTTTTGAACAACAAAAAACAAACCCTCTAAAAGTGGAAGCTCATCCTCTATTTTTTCTGGTTGTGTGGACTCTTGTTTTGTTTCTGTGGTCGACGTCAATGTTGCTTCTCCTGTAAGGTTTTGTGGCTTTTCGTCTTTGGGCAACTCACCTTCGTTTTTTCCCGACTTTGGAGGTTCGTCTTCCAAAAACGCGGTTTCTCCAACTTGACTTGCGTGCTTCAAAAAATCGTCTGCGTCGTTTCCGTCGTCGTCCATCTCGATGGAAAAAGTGGCGTCTTCTTTATTCATCTAATTACCTTTTAGAGTTTTGTTTGTGTTTGTCAACTTTTTCTCTTTGTGTTTCTCTTTTGTATTTTTTCAATGCATTTTTATAATAATTAATTAATAATACAATTTATTATATTTCTGGTAATATTATTATGTATTATTTAAATTAAATAATATTTATAAACACATTTTTTTTTAACAATAATTATAAAATGTTTTTAAATTTCATCAAATATTTTTCTTTAACTAAAACTTATTTCTATAAAATATAAATTATTATTCTAGATATAAAGATGTCTTTTCAAAGTTATTTTACCTCCAATTTAATTTTAATTTATTTTTGTTATTTTACAAGTTTTTATTTAACGAGTTATTTTTAATAAGAAATGAAAATAATAACTAGTATTTATCAAAAAATAAAGTGTGTTACAGTAAGACCTCGATTATTTCCAAACCTTGACATTTTACAAACCTCGACAATTTCAAAGATCTGATTGGTTGTTTGAAGTTTTTTGGAAAAATGCGAGGTAATCTTAACTTAGTTAATTTAATTATTAGCTGATATAACAATTTACTAAAAAATTCAAAATCTTCAATTTGGAAAGTGTCAAGGTTTTTAAAATAAAAAAATTGGAAATAATCGAGGTCTTAAGAGAAAGGACGGACATGGTGACGAAGGACGGGAATATAGGCCGAAGGACGTCCTTTGTGGTTTAAGGACGTCCTCCCGCTATAAAGGACGTCCTCCCTGTGTATATGGTGTCCTTTCTATTATTTTCGTGTCCGCGGCATTTTTTATTCATTATCGAAACTATATAACGAAGTATATTTTTATTATAATTTTATTATTAAAAATTTAATTATTTCCAAAAATAAATTAATTCAAAGACAAATGTTAAACAACAAGTAATTTTGTTATAAATTAATGGTTTTTATAAAAAATGCATATTTAATTAGTTTTTCAAAGAAAACAGAATGGTAAAATGAAAAAAAAATGATAATTTTTTATAAACCATTAATATATAACAAAATTACTTGTTAAATAGTTTTTGTCTTTGAATTAATTTATTTTTGGAAATAAT